ACTGGACACAATAACGACATAAGCATAAGCATAAGCATAAAAGAATCCACCTGGACTTACTTGAAAAGGCCGCGACCAATTGCACTTACTATGAGCTCAATAGTTAAAATTTCAAGATCTTTGTGAAAATTAAACAGGTCCTATTAGCGTTGTAACGGATGAACTCTGTACTGCTGAAACCGAGGATAATGTTGGATTTCAGTATTATCAAGTGTATCAGAAAACGAATGAGAGGACAACTTCAACAAGTAAATAATAAATGTCTGAAATTTTTGGACGCCTTCAACGACACGGGCAAATAACTTCCTCAAGAGATGGGATTGTAAGGTTTTACAGTAATTAAATGAGAAGAAATGTCTCGAAATATGGAATCGTATTTGGAAAGAAAATCTTAGGCCTATAAATATAACAGAAATGCACTTGATTTCTCGTATTTTTCAGATTTGAAAAATAAAAGGATGAAACAAATGATATTAAGCCTTTATTTACACAGAGTAAGTTACAATTAATAGAAAAAATTTCCACGGCACGAAGAGTGTGACTGGTAGCATGTAGCTTGAGTTACTTAAATGAATAATAAACAGGTATCTTCGGCGGTCCAGCTTTTCTTGCAACTAATTGGTTTCTTGTTGTTGTTATTCTTTGCGCACATTTAGAGGTGTGTGACAAAACACTGTGAATCAAGTCGACATCAGAGATAGCCCGCGTAGCAGGCGTTTCCTTTTTCCATTTTCCAAGCGGGGAGATCGAGCAAGCGAGCGAGCAAACGAGCGAGCCTCAGGCGGGCAAAAAATGGGGAGAAGTTTAGCCTGCGGAGGCAGACGTATTTCTGGTTGTCGCTTGTCTCCGGCGAAAATAACGTCTGTAGCGAAGTGGGGAAGGGATGAGAAAAAAAAAGGGAGGGGGAAAGCAGGGCGTGGGGGGTGGGGAGGAAAGCATTCATTTTTTGCCCCACCCCCTCTCCCTGCTCCTTATTCTTTCGCTGCATCAAAGGCTAAATCAAAGAGAATCCTCAATCCCGCATCCAGTGTTGAAAATAGGGTCTCATGCATCTACGAACGATATAAAACAGCCACATCTGTGTGCCATTCAGTGTCGCATTGCAAATATAAACGTTGTCGGCCGTTTATCGCTGCTTTACTGGGTATCGTTTACAGAACGACTCAACGGGAGAATGAAAAGTTAAAACCGTGTAATAAGTTTCTAGATGTTTTTTTTGTAGCTTTTTAAGCAAGCATATTTTTATACAGCTGCCATTTGTGTCTGTTGGCGAGAACAAATAAAGGCTAACTTTGACTAGTATAAATGGCCTCTGGTATATACCATTTGGTCAAATTATCTACATTTTAGAAAACCTTGGTTATAGTATTTTTATTTTCCACCAGGAAAGTTATAGCTCTGGAAATTAAAATGCTCCGTGTCAGTAAAATAAACTGTTGCGGCATGTAAGCGAGTTCAATTTTGTGCAAATCACAGGTTATTCTTTGGAAATTAACAGTTAAAACTGGAAAGAACGACTCATAGTTACTTACGTTCCTTTTGCTGCTTTACAAAATGATTTTAAAGTATAAGAATCAAATAATATTTGCGCCAAGTTTCGTTTTCGAAGAATCGTTTTTACCTCCCCGCTGGGGTTTGCGTAAAGAGGCATGAAATTTTGAACATTTTAAGCCTCGAAAACTGCCTCCTTTAAAATTTCGCCCGTAAAACAAATCATTGGAACAAATCGTTGGAACATCTCTTGTTCCTTGAATAAGTTCACCCAAAGGCATGTTTCGGCGAAATACAGAGAAAAAAAGATTTTTTCTGCCTGTCTGGATTCTCGACATTCTGAGAAAATGACTTTTTCAAAAAGCCTTGAACACAGAAGCTAAATGAAGTCTTACAGACTGAAGCCGCAATGAAAAAAGTTTGAAATATCAGCTAGGTAGGGTGATGCGAGTCGTTCATTGATAGCTAAATGTCGCAGTTAAGCATAAAATGAAAGAACTATCCGTACTCCACTCAACCAATCGTATATTTCGACTCAGAGAAAAAACTTCAAAATCTGTGTAACTGTTCAGATTTGTGCTGCTTAGGATACGTTACCAACTATTCTTGTATAGCTCTCTGTACTCATGATTCGGGTAGTTCACATTAAAATGATGTCTTCAATGAAAGGTTTATTGTAATAAAATTTGTCATACAAAACATCATTAAAGCTATCAATAAAAGCTTTGTTTAAGGTCTAAAATACATTTGAACTGCGTTTCGATATAAACGTACTGATCAAAGACTTTTCTATAGTGGTAAAGGCAGCAATAACAAAATGTCTCCATAACTACTATGCAAAGTTTATTATATCATTGAGGTAATAGCCACTACTAGTTTACTGGTGCGGTTACAAAATATAATGACGTCACATTATTATTGTACTACTGAATCTTGAAAAACAATCAGACGATAAGTTGTTAGTTTTCTCAGGTTCTTCTGCAACTGAGAGACTTTTATATGTTTCATTCTTGTAAATAATCAAAGGAACATAGTTTTAAGGATGCCATAAGTCCGTAGAAAACTCTCGGTTAGTAATCCCTTGCCTTCAGTACTTGAAGAGCAAATTCGTTGTCATCCGGGTTTGCAGAACAGTTACGGCCATTATTGGGAGGGCGGACGGCGTGATAACGCGTCCAGTCCCCATTACAAAGACGAATAGGCAAGACGTCCAGCTTGTAATGCATCGAGGCATTCCGATCCGGGGACACAACGAACGGTGCGCCTGCCCCAGTCCCCCGGGTGATCAGTTGGAACTTGGAGTCATAGCAACAAACTTGGGCGCTGAGGCTGGTACGTGGAAGAGATCGAATGCAGAACTCTGCTGTACGTCTGAGGAGGCCTTTTTTATCCACCTTCATTCCTCTCCACTGAAAGGACTTGTTCAATGCCGGGTCGTAAATTGTGTTGTTGTAGATGAAATGCGCTGGTTGAAGCTGACAAGAACAGCTGGGTAATTTCTGAAACCAGCGGCTGGCTTTCAGGAGCTGATTTAAAGCACAGTTCTGCCATACAGTGCAAGGATCCTGTTCATCTGATGGGTCCGTTGGGTGTCCTGAAGCCGATGAAAACAACAAAAATCAGAAACAAACCAAAAAACATCAAAATGCTACGTGTCTCAGTACGTCATAATTTTTCAGTAAAAAGTCTGACATCTCAACACGATGCAAGTAAGTTGAAACACTATGGAAGAAAAGGAGAAGTTTAGCCTGGTAGTCCTTGAGTTGGGTTTCAACAGGACTAGTTATCTTTTTAGTGCTTCTCTTCACCCGTGAGTATGTGATTGTTGACAAAACCTGAGAAAATGTGGGAGCTGCATATAGACTAGCAACACATCTAGCGGAACGGCAGGTAGGTTGATTAGACCGTGTTCAAATCAATAGGGTGCTTTCCTCTACTACAATACCCAAGATTTTCTGGTTTGGCTGGGCATAGTGGTTCCCCTTTCGTTTGGGGGATCAAAGTCACAACTGAGCCTTCGCTTCAGAAAATAATAAAACAAGGCTAGCAGGTGGAGTTTACATGGTTTCATAGCGTGTTGCAAATCAGTTCTCAGAGCAGCAAAATACATTATGAAAATAATAATGTTACGTGGTTTGCAAATGTTACGGATTGGAGTAGCTTCCCCTTTGGTGGTGTGAGCAACCATTCCTATGATAGTGGACATAACGGTGAAAGGCTTTTGTCGATCCTGGTTACCATGAAATACTGACAAGACAATTGCCTTTTGTATATCAAGCTTAATTATGACTACGTTGACCCAAAAAAGTGATGAAATCCAGCTACTTTCGTCCTTTATACGTTCGTATTTTGATCGACCTTACTTAGCTCTTAGGCGAAACGTGTTTAAATAAAGTATTGATTTATTGATTGACTTGTTGATTGATGGAGACTACTGTCATTAGAACGTTGAGACTGTGCTATAAGCGAAACATTTGCACCTCAAGAGCAACAATTACTCTGGTGAATAACGCGCAATATTTTAAAATACCTGTCACGCTCTGATTTGGTTGCATCGACAGCGTCATCACCGAGCTTACGGGAGTGAATGTTGGAGTAGGACTGGAATTTAAACTGCTAATTTTTGCTATCTTTACTTGTGAATCATCGGGAACTTTGTCAGCTCTTGCATAACGAAGCTTTGGAGTAAAGATCAACCGAGGGAACCAGCTGTCCACCGATGGGGTTGGAGTAATCTGCGCATATTCTTCAGTTGAGAAGTCAACATGTTCATCTGTCCTCGTGTTGAAGGGAAATGTGGGAGACGGACGTGGCAGATGGATTCCAGCAGATGGAGAATTGTGCTGATGTCGATGGTGGTGTTCTTCATGATGTTTCGTTGGGCTGTGATTTCTGTCATGCCCTTGCTTTTCTTTGTGACGCATTAGGGGAAGTAAAACGAAGTTTTTCAGCTCATTTCCACGTTTCTTTATTTCTTCAGCCATAGCGGGGGCTGAAGCATTAGAGTCACGGACTTGCCTCAAGAGCTCGTCGCTGAAAGCGGCAGGATTTATAACGTCATCGCTTTCCTGATAGTGACAGTAAACAATATTAGTATGAAGGGCAATTTCCACAGCTAATTTGTTGTTAAACGTTAAATTGCGAGATAAAAAATGAACGTTAAAAATTCAAACATCCGCTTACGTTGATCCGTAACAGAGGTATCTCATCTAGTAGATAAACATCTTTTACAAGAGTTTATCATCTCGGTTTAATTAGCGATTTCAGCGATTTCTAAACATCTGCCCGAAAGAACAGACCAAACGAAAAAACATTTTTATGACCTGGACAATTAGCTGTGTTGTTTTAAATTTACTACCAACAGCTGATGAAGACCTACCTAGATAAACAAGTACTAAGTTTGACCCTTTTTATCTCCTTACCGAAGAAACGCCGGACTGTCGTGAGACAACTAATCATAATCTTACAACAGAGCGTGAATGTGGATAAAAGTAACTGGCGAGAAACCAAGGTATGTCGCAGCAAAGAAAAAAGACACTAAATTGCACTGTCACTAGCAACTGACACGCCCAAACGAATTCCTTCTTGACAGGGTGGTGTAAAGTTGGCGTCCTTATACCCGGGTAGTAAAAAATGATTTCGGTTTGGATTGTAAGGACCGCAAGCGCATGGTATGGTTAAATAAAGTATGTATGTCAGGGTATTCCAAGAAAAAAGACTTCTTGACAGCCCTGTACTTAAGGTCATTCCGCTGAAATAGAACCTGCACTGAGATTTTTGTGACACTTTGCCTATCGATTGTTTATATTATAGGAACTTGAATTTTGAAATAAAAATGAGGGGTCCCCATGTTCGTCTAGGAGCAAAAGCACCTTGTTTATATCCATGTAAATCCTTATAATAGCACCATGATTGTAGTCGCGATTGCTTGCTAAATTCACGTTTCTGACGATTGGTTTTTGTTCTACACTGAGAATTGGTCCATATTTAGTTTACACAGAGAAATTTATTACTCAGTTCAAAACAACAGAAAAAAATGATAGGTCACCATACTCGTTTGCGAGGAAATGACCAGTTACCTCTCTGTAAAGAAAAAGCCGCCATTTGTTAATGCACGCGCGCTAATCACGCGTGAAATTATGCGCAGTAGGGATGCGCAAGGCAATACTGGGGTATAACCTTAATCTTCTTATGCAAGTGCCACTGAGTACATAGCACGAAAAATGAGTCAACGCGGTATATATAGTCACAATGTGCTTATTTATAGCCACGTTAACAGCACACAAAGATTTATTCTTTAATCCTCCCTTAATCAGCGTTTTTTGACCAACCACTCTTAGGTTGCGTGAAGATTCAATTAGCATTTGATGAGACTATTTTCAGGAAATTACATTACATATAGTTATGAACATGCTGTTAGTTTTCTAAGGACACAGACCGAAAGATTCCTTCACAATATCGGTGGAGAATGAAGTGTTTTTTCTTTTAATTAAACTAGTGATATCAACGGAAGCTACGGTCCTCATATAAATTAAGCCCTTGAAAGTGGATTGTACTCAGTAAAATTTGTCAACATAAACTTGATTTTATTGCACATAGCTTTCTAATAAATTTTTATGGTTCAATGTGATTTCTGTACCAAAGTTGTTTTATAATCACAGTAATAGCTTCGTCTAAGGAAATTAAGTACGAAAACCAGATTTTGAAGGGAAAACGCGATTAAACGTTCGACTTAATTTCGCCAAGGACTTTACAGGTCAACCATCACTTGTTTTAAATTGAAATGCTTTTAGTAAATGAGTTATGTTTTTTTTTTACTAATCCTCTTAAAAGCTACAGATCACGGAAAGGAACCGGCCAACCAGCCTTCACGAAATTCTTTCGGACAAAAAAGTGTTTCCTACGAAGTTCGTTTGTTACTTTTCAGACGGAGACAAATGTTTCAAATGTTGCTTTTATAGCGTTGCTGCAAACATTAGCTTAACTGTGCCATGCGAGAAAAAAAATCAGTGGGAACCTGTTTTACGAAACAAAACTACTGCTATGTTACATAGAACCAATGTTACACACGAAACAATTAACTACACTTACCACCTCGTCTACCGTTTGTCTTTCTAATGCCACTGGACCTGTTTGAATCGCAATCAGCGAAAACACCACCACGCCGCAAAAGTTTAAACTTTTGTTCGCCATCAGTTCACGCCTTTAATCCAAAACC